CTGTTTTTCCACTTCATATGAAAGCTTTGGAATCTAAGTGTGAGGAAGAGTTAGGAAGGATTGATCTGGCCCTGGCAAGTTTGGCCATTGTCTTTCCATCAACTTTAGTGATAGTTAAGTTCATATAAATGCTAAAGCATTTAACTTGGTGCTTTTACTTTTTCTCTGTACTCTGACAAGTTTGCATTTTTTCAGGTTGGTATTGATTACTGTATCCACCATATGCTGGAAGAAACTTTTACTTTACTGAGTGGCTTTAAACTTGACTTTAATATGACTATGTGCAGTGATGACTGTATATGTAAATGCTTCACTTTCAAGTGTCGAATCCTAATCTGAACGTAACTTCATTCAGTAGCATTACATGTGCTCATAAAATTTTATAGAGATCTGTAACAATAAGATTTATTATTATAGGCATCCTGCAAGATATTTGGTGTTTTATATGAAGTAGAACATACAAAGAAGTGAGTCCTTCAGATGTTTTTGATTGCACTGTAGTTTAACTGTTGATATGTATCTCTCTTAGGTTCTGACCAAGACAATCGATTACCAAAATCTACATCTCGGCAAAGAAAACCTCACTGCATGTTGGGTGGTCCTGTTTCAGCAGAACCTTGCCAGATATCTCAGTATATTGCACGTAACAGGTATCTGAAATGAGGTTGGTTTTATAGTGCTAAACTCTACGCAGAGACTGAGTTGTGATAACTTATGGAAAGCCTAATCTGAAGTTTATGATTGTTACATTGCAAAATACGTTAAATAAAAACATCTATCCTAAGCATAATTTATTTGCATTATAACATTCTCCTTTTTTTTTCCCCAGTTCCAGTGCTGCGTTAAGAAGACCTGCTGGAGATAGCATACCAAATCAGTGGGTGGAAAGTGACAAACAAACAGAGTAATACACAAAGTCATGGGAAGACTCTGGAGTTGGCACTCTGCTATGTAGAAAACTTGCACATAGAACAACTGCCTTAGACTTCTGGGGTTGCCAGCTGGGTTTTTTTTGGTTGGAGATTGGTTCATAAACTTTTCATTATAAAATGAAACAATGCCATGAGTTTGATGTTCTTCTAGAGGATTATGTGGTGATCTGAATTGTGGTGTGTATGTATGTGTGTGCACATGGCTTTTATTTTTTAGACCATTTTTGCTTCATTTTCTTGCAACTGTGAAAGAAGATAATTTAAAATATATAAAAGCTTTGATATTTTTTTAGTAACAAAGCTCTGATTCTGTGAATGAAGCAATAGTCTGACACTTTGACTGTAACAAAATATTGGATCCTTGTGTTCCTTTTCATCACAGGCAGAGATAGCACTTTTAGAAGTTGTTTAATTATTGGAAACCTTCAGTTATGTCTCAAGTGTAACTGGCATTAAACTTCTTTTGCCTCAACTTGAATGTACAGCATACTGTAGATTTTTAAAAAAACAGGTTCTATATTTATTGTGTGATTTGAAAATACCTCTTTGATATTTCAGATGACTTAAAGTGCAGAATCTTTATATATTTGTAAATAGACAAAGTGGTTATGCTGAGAAACCATGAAATGAAACACATGCATACATAGTATTATTTTACATGGCATTTTAAATTTATTTTATAGTGATACTGAGTTTACAGATGCATTAGGGCTTTCAGTGGTTCAGTGAGGAACCAGATTATTTCAAATGTGAACAATAAATGTGTAATTTTATTCTAAGAAACCTTGGTTCTCTCTTTTGTATGCACTAAGCTATCATGGATGTCAGGCTGTCTACTGACAACAAATCCGATGCTGCTTTGGAATTTTGTTAGTTTCACCTCGAAATCAATTCCAGATTTATTTTTTCTTGTAGCTTTTGGGAAATCTGTTTTGTTTATAATGTAATAAAAATAGCCAAGTGGAGGTAAGATGCTTCAGTCTCCTTCACCTGACTCCATGCATGCAGTTTTTCCTTGCCCATTACAAATCAATCTTGTCTTTGTTGGGTTTTCATGTGCCTAGCTCTGATGTGCATAGCATGTGCATAGCTCTGATCCCTAGCATGTGCATAGCTCTGATGCTTTTGGAAGATGCCTAAGAAACTTATGCCTTTCTTACGTTCATAGGAAGGAAATTAACTGTGAAGCTTAGAATCCTTTACTGAAAACACACTGCTGCTCTGCCTATTATTTTCAGAATTGGATGTAATGGAGTGATTGGGCCACCTAGAGAAATAGGAATTGAGTATCATAGGAAAGAGAAGAAAGGGGGGATCTCCAGGAAGCTAAGACAACTGCAGTTTCTGCTGATTAGCTCTGCATATTGAGTGAGATGAAGTAGTGGCCAATGCAATCTGCATAGGATACTTGTATGGTTCTTGCAGAGCACCCTTAAGGAAGCAGAGATGTATATAATGTTCTTGGTCAGCTTTCTGCTGCAGAGGTAGTCAGGTTGGAAATACAAATATCATATTTCTTATTTTTTAGTTCTTCTACAGTTCTTTGTCAATAAATGGGTGATCATAGCAATGTCATCTGCTGAAAGCATTTAGTAGCAAGTAGTTACTGTTAGGCTTACACCTTCCCCACAATGTGCTGGACAGCTCTTGACTGAATTTTACCCATGGAAGAATAAATATACATATTCAGAAGGTGTATTTAAAGATGTAATGTGGAAAACTTAATATATTGACAGTACTTTACATGTAGAATTCTTACTTTCAAGTTGACATGTGAATCCATAGTTGAGGCGGTATCAGCATGCCACTAGGGGCTGCTACTGCTCTGAAGTATTACCGTGTGCTCGCTGGGGCTGTGATTATGGTCACTTAAGAGGCATTCAGTTTAGTGGGACTCTTACTAGACAGTTTTTCTTCATGATAGTAAGTTTTAGGATAATAATGCATTTGAAGAACTAAATTTACCTATTTAATCTTTTGTGCCTATTGTTAGTACAAAATGTTTGTTAATTGCTATTTTTTAATGTATCACCTCTGATAGAAGTGGAAAATTGTTTAAATGCCTCCATGAAAGAATCAACAGTGCTAGGTCTGTGCATGCAGTTGAGCCCTGAGCTGCCTCCTCAGACCTGGTCTGGAAGCCTGAGGCATAGGTTCTGTTCATAGCCCTGTCCCTATAAAGAAAGAAAATGATGCCTGAGTTTTTGGATTGTTCTCTATGCAGTAATGAGGAAGCTTTTTAAATCTGAAGCTACTGCTCATAATGGTAAGAACACTACAGATGGTCTGGTTGGTTAGTGCGGTGACACTGCAACACTTCACTGGGGTGGAAATGACTTTGGCATTTTTCTTAACTTGTAGAATGTGGAAGAGCAAAGGGAATTAATTGCTTGCAAGAATGTAGTATAGGTGTGTTACTACACACAGGTGCATATGGCCTACTTCAGAAGGAACAAGAAGTACTGACTACCAGTGACTGATAGGCATGCAGCTACTGTTAGCTACCTATGCAGGACATTGGAAAGATGAGTGGTTCTCTTAAACCACCATATTTCATGTCACAGAATCTTTAAAAATAATATGCATTGCTGCTTTTTCAGTCTACATGATGAGAGAGTTCTTTTACCATAAATACCATGCTTAATGCTTTCTTCCTCCAAAACAGCCACCCTCCTCCTGACTTGAAGAACTGCTTCCACCAGCTTCTGCAGATCTACAGAAGGGCAAAAGTTGCAGTTAGAGGAGGACAAAACTATTCCCATGTGTATGGCAAAACCACCCCCCGTAACCTAGCTTTTCCTTAGGGTTTATTGTATGTACACTTTATACAGGCCTATCAATTTAAGCAGGTAATTCTTAAAAGGAAAATAAATATATATGCAGAGTAATGGCAATGCTGTGTATGTTGAATTAGCTTAGCTGCTCCTTGTGCTGCTGCTTTATTTTTGTTTTTGTTTATTTTTTGTAATTTGCGGGTTTTGTCTGTGAAGACATTGAAGACATCTACTTTCATCCCTTCCTCTACCCTCCATGTGACTTGTGAGAGAAGTAGGCAGCAAAACATGAAAGGCTGATCTAGTTACATACAAAAACTGATGCCCAAAGAAAACTTCAGACCGTCAGATGATTTATTTTTTGCATTCAGGCACTATCTGTGACCTCTCTTGTTCACAGTTGCACTGTAATTAAAATAATGAAAATCCCACAGTCTGCATTTTGTTGCCATTTTCAGCCTGATGCAGTATCCATGTTCCTTTTTGTGCAAGTTTTGACTTGTACAAGACATACAGCTAAATGGAATGTGTAACAGGTAAGCTTGTTTTAATGAAACATCCAATAAAAAAAGTTACAGTTGTATGGAAGAGCTTGACAACATAATAAAGAAAAGTTTGTCACCTGTGATGTATAATAAATTCATAATCATGAAGGTATTTCTTGATAATGTCCCCCCAAAAATGTGGTTGGATGGCCCCCTTTGGAAGACTGTAACTTTTCTGGGACACACCAAAACTAACTTTTCCTTTTTTTTTTTTTTTTTTTTTTTTTTTTGATTATCAGTGTATTACCATACTCAAAAAGGGCAAATGTGTTTTGTGCATCCCCGCTTGCCTCCATGCCCCTGACATTTCTAAAAGAGAACGCTTATGTGAATCTGTTCCTGGCCTGTCACTGTAAATCAGTGATGCCTGCCTATGTCAGGCGCTTGGCTACATTTTGAATTTTGCTCCTTAGCAAATGTAAAAGATCTAGCTGACCTGCACTCCTGTTCCCCCTGCTTCCCTGCTGCCGCTCTCTGCAGCTTTTCATTGTTCATGTTTAGCTGTCATTTACCTTAGAAGATAAAATATTTACAGATTGCTTATGAAATCTTTGTTCATTTAAAAAATATTCATGGTCAGTGTGACCAGAGCTGAAAGGGCATGCTGATCCCTGGGTTTGTTATTTTGAATACACCTGTATATTTTCCATATATACAGGTTTTCAGTAGGATGTTAGGTCAGATTATAATATGTAAGACTAGCAAAGGTTTAGCTGTCCTTGTCTCCTGCCTACAGTGGTAACTAAACCAATGCTGAGTGAAGAGAAAGGGCATTCTTAATGCATGTGACACTGATGCTACTTTGTTAATTGGGCCACTATCAGTGAGATAACAGTTTGGGTCAGATGCCAGGTCAGCATAACCAGGGCACAAACAAGCTGATCTGTGACTGAATACCAGCAGCCAGCTGGTGACACAATCTAGGAAATTAAGTAATGTGTTTATTATAAATTTATTGTAAACAACCTGGTAAAATTGTTTTACTGGGATAAACAGAAACCTTTGAACAATCTAGTGAAGGGCTTATATGAAAAAATCCGTGAGATGCCAAGGTATGACTTGATTTCCATTATTCCATCTGAAGAGAAAGTATGATTGCAAGAAGAGAAGTGTTTACATAAACTGATAAAAAACTTGAGAATTCAGCAGAACCTGGCCACGTGTTCCTGAGCTTTCTTCCATAAAAGTCTCACCATGACAAGCAGAGCCCCATTCACCTTCACTATGAAGGGAATCATACTTGCACTAGCGCTCGCCTTTGTAGGTAAGCCTACATATCCCTTAATCTCTTTTTCCCAAAATTTCCTTAAGGCCAATGGCAACAATTTGATCTAGACTGACAGTTACTCATCTGTTTTCTGTCTCTTTTTGCAGGTAGCCAAAAGGTTGATATTGGTAAGTAAATTTCCTTTTATGGCCTTCCTTTGATGACTTTGTTGTAATTTCTACTTCCCGGAATGTGCTTGCAAGTATTGTGAAAAATTGTTCTTGTTTCCCCACAGACCCTGGGTTCAGTAGCAGAAAGAGCCACTTGTACAGCTATGAAGGCTGGGTGTTGAATGGGCTTCCAGAAAAAGGTTTAGCCAAAGTTGGCGTGCGCTTGAGCAGCAAAGTAGAGATCAGTGGGCTGTCAGAGAGCACTTACCTCCTCAAGGTACTGTGTCTACTACCAAATGTACTATGCAACAGTAGACTATAAATCACAGTTATAACTGCATCTGGCGAATCTGTGGTTTAGGAAAGCTATTGGAAATACAACTAGAGCCTTAGTGCTGTAGATAAAATCATAGAATAGTTAGGGTTGGAAAGGACCTTAAGATCATCTAATTCCAACCCCCCTGCCATGGGCAGGGACACCTCACACTAAACTGTGTCATCCAAGGCTCTGTCCAACCTGGCCTTGAACACTGCCGGGGATGGAGCATTCACAGCTTCCCTGGGCAACCCATTCCAGTGCCTCACCACCCTCACAGTAAAGAATTTCTTCCTTATATCCAATGAAACTTCCCCTGTTTAAGTTTGAACCCATTACCCCTTGTCCTGTCACTACAGTCCCTAATGAAGAGTCCCTCCCCAGCATCCCTATAGGCCCCCTTCAGATACTGGAAGGCTGCTATGAGGTCTCCACACAGCCTTCTCTTCTCCAGGCTGAACAGCCCCAGCTCTCTCAGCCTGTCTTCATATGGGAGGTGCTCCAGTCCCCTGATCATCCTCGTGACACCCTCGATGTCAGGGAATGATCTCAAGCTAAAGTCTTGGAAGTGACAAGTGATTTAGCATCCAGTCACCAGTGTTTGTTGTGGAAATTGTTTGTTTGTAGCAGATGTTCCTCAAGACTTTATGAGGGAAATAGAGGTGCCAAAATCAGGGGTTCTGCTAGAAAATCGCTGTTTCTAACTCAAAGCATTCAAGCCTCCTCTGTGTTTAAGATTTGCTTCTAGTCTCAACACACATTTCCAGTCTCTGTGGGAAGCCAGACTTGGGTATGCAGAGTTATTGTCATACTGGAAATTACTAAATGTAGACTTAAAAAATGATACAAGCTAAAAATAAAAAGTGATACGTGATGAAAGATTTAAAAATGAAAGGCATCAAAAAGGAGCATGTAAGAACATGTAGTGTTTGGATAATGCAGTGAGAGATCTGTACATGTGCAATCATGCCTCTGACAGCATCAATAGAGATAGGACCTGACCCATCTGAAATAAATATGTTTGTTTCAGAAAAAAATCCTTTATTTCTCTGTTTAATTTAGTTACAAATCAGAGTTTCTTTTTCTTTTCTGGGCACTGAGTTCAGTGGCAGAGCTCTTGCTGGTTGTAGCCGAGTGGTAGATCTGGTAGATCTTTCAGTGATGAGAGCAAGGTGTCAAAATTATGGGCTAGGCATTGCAACCAGTTTAGTAAAAAAAAAAAAATAATATTGGAAAACAGAACTTTCTAAAGTTGTTGTTTTGTTTTGTTTTTTTTTTTTACATTTAGAATGCCATTGATCTTTTAAATACAGAATTTCACCTAGAGCAAAATACTCATTTTGAGGCTGAATTGAAATTTTTAAATTACTTCTTGAATCAGCCTTTCTCTGTATACAGTTAATGCAAGTAAAATGTTTAAAAGGTCCATATGAGGTAATAGCAATACGTCAACTGCATCTGTAAGATGAAATACCAGTGCTGATCCTACAGGGTTTGTACTGGTTTTACAATAGTGTAAGCAAGAGACAAAAGAATAAACTGCTGAATGAATTCCTAAGCCTACATCTGGAAAGAAAGAGTGTATAACTAGTGATTATGTTAATTTCTTCCAATCTATTTGCATATATAGTATCAAAGTAATTTTATTCACTTACATATCTTTTCTTTATTTCCTCCCAGATCCGCTCTCCACAATTCCAGGAATACAATGGCGTCTGGCCAAGGGACCCATTTACTCAGTCATCCAAAATCACCCAGATAGTTTCTTCATGTTTTAGCCGGCCCTTCAAGTTTGAATACGATAGTGGACGGGTCGGAAACATTTATGGCCCAGAAGACTGCCCCAATATGTGTATTAACATAGTGAGAGGAATACTGAACTTGATACAGATAACCATTAAAAAGTCACAGAATGTGTATGAATTGCAAGAGGTTTGTTTTTCCATTCTAAAACTACTTTACTGAATGTATTCTCTTTAGGTGCTCTTCCTAGAAGTTTCTGTTTGTTTGCATCTACTTTCGAATGTTCCTCATCAAAAAAAGGATAATTTTCATTCACGCAGAAGAAAATGTGTGCATATGTGTTGAACGAAGTATCGGGGCTGGATTCTTTTTAAGACTTAACATACAGTTCTTTCAAGAAAAATGAATAATTAGCTATGGAAGTATCTGTTATATGGCTTCCCTGAGTCAGCTACTTGATCCATTTTACTTGCTTATTGTTGATATTAGTTAATTGATTACTTTTTCATTTTTAACTCTTATCCCCTGACTATTTTTCATATGTTTATTGTTTAGTTCAACAGGATTAAATATGTGTAATGGTTAAAGGTTTCAAAACATAATTAAGACATTTCAGTAGGTCCTTACCCTCATGCTGCTCCTTCAGAATCTTTGTTCAGTAAAACTTCTCACACAGTGAAATACTGGCATAATTGGGAAGTCTCATTATCTATTGATCTGCTAGGCTGGAATTGGAGGTGTTTGCCATACAAGGTACATCATCCAGGAAGACAGGAAGAATGACCGAGTCTCTGTTACCAAAACCGTGGACCAAAATAATTGCCAGGAAAAAGTCACCAAGAGTGTTGGAATGGCTTACATCTATCCTTGTCCAGTTGACGTGATGGTATGTGAGACATGAAGAAAATCTTAATTACAAGCCTGGCCATTCTGCTCCTGTTCACTATTTGGATCTCTCTGTCCTCCTCCTCCAGAAAGCAAGGCTCATAAAGGGGACTGCAGCTTTCTCCTACAAACTGAAGCAGTCAGACAGCGGCACTCTGATCACAGAAGTAGTGTCACGGCAAGTCTATCAGATCTCGCCATTCAGTGAACCTACTGGTGTTGCTGTCATGGAAGCAAGGTAGGCAGAGTAAGGATTCTGGCAGTCCCTTTCACCCCCAGTGGAAGTGAAATGAGAATTGAGTTCCACAGCAGTTCTGTAAAGCTGCGAGTACTCATACTTGGGGTTTCCACACTCCTAAAAATTTAGTGAACAGTTCTTTATTTGTGCCCTGGTGAACTTGGCACTATGGGTATATGGAAGAAAAGGAGAAAAACTCTTTTGCTTGCTTATACTGTAAGAATGCAACTTTACTGCTCTGTCCTAAAAAAGGTCTAATTTATAGTGTTACGAGGAAGATGTTGCATGTAGAAATAAGATCATTGATTACAGAACTATTTTGTTCCAATTAAGAGGCTTTGTCCATTAGCAAACTGTAATATTTTACTGTGATAAGAATTATTAAAGAGTAAAACTAATACTGTCACAGTATTGCTGAATCAACAAACAGCCAAGGCAGATGGAGGAAGAGAGCTAATTCATTCCTCTGGTGACACTTGTCTCTTGACAGACAACAACTCGCCTTGCTTGAAGTGAGAAGTGAACGGGGGAGTGCCCCAGACATTTCCATGCAGGGCTATGGAGGCCTTCGTTATGACTTCTCAGCACTGCCACAAATGCCACTGCAGCTGATCAAGATGAAGAACCCTGAGCAACGGGTATTGTATTTTTAGGTCTTCAAATTGCTTTCCTAATTAAAAAAAAATAATAGAAGAGTGATGATCATAAATTCTAAAGGATTTAATTACATATGCCCTCTCTCTTTCATGTTTTGTAACAGATAGTAGAAACGCTGCAACACATAGTCCAGAATAACCAACAAGATTTCCACGATGATGTTCCATACAGATTCTTGGAGCTTGTCCAGCTCTGCCGGATAGCAAGCACTGATACTCTTGAATCCACCTGGAAGCAATTTTCAGATAAACCCCGCTACAGGTATTTCATTGTATTAACTTACAAGAACCTTTTTCCATTTTTGGAGAATCAAGAGCTAACACTAAGGTGTGTTTTTTTTTAACCTGCTTGCAGGCGATGGCTGCTGAGTGCAGTTTCTGCAACAGGCACTGCAGAAGCACTCAAATTCATTAAGACCAGAATTCGTAACGATGACCTTAACTACATTCAGACTCTTCTAAGTGTTTCTTTTGCTCTTCATTTAATGAAAGCTGATGAAAACACCGTTCCAATAGCAGCAGTGAGTAAACCTGTGTGAATCTTCACTATCTGATTATAAAAGGAATGAAAACTGACGACAGCCTTTGATTGTTCAGTTCATCAGAGACTGGATACTCCTCTCATGTACACTACTTTTATGCAAATGTTGAGCCATGGATTTCTTTTGGCATTACATATGAGAGGGGAGTTCAGTTTTGTGTCTTCACTTTGCTACACGGATACGCAAGTCTTTTTCCCATAACAGTGTCAGAGAATAACTCCCATTTTAGTTTGCTGGGATCACATCATGCTTTCTGCAGACTACGTTTTGTCCACTTCAATCACTTACTTCTGAAACAAATGGTGATTTGCGTGTAATGTCATTTAAAAAGAATAGCTCTTTTAACTGCAAACTATTCCTATGAACCAGAAGTGCAAGTGCAAACATCAACTACTTTGATACAATAATGAATCATGTATTCTGAACAGCATTTTGCCACCTCTAGTCAATATTATTCTTCTTAAATAGGGAAAACTGATATGATGTGAGAATGCATCATTAATGTAACCTATCAATCTCCATTATAATCTCCATTAATATAATGGAGTTGCACATTTTTCTAAGCATGTTCCATTTATACACTGATGTTCACCCATAATCTTTGTATTTTCAGAGATAGGCTTAGTTGAGGAAAATCAAGATGACACTTTACAAACCTATATATACATTGAGAATAATGGAGAATTAAACTCCTAAGCAAATATGATGTCTACACGCTGATTTAATTTGTTTGGATATGAACAATAATTGAAATTGCTCCCCTTAGATAAGCTCTGATGATTTTCCTGCTCTGAAAGCTATATGAAGCACCATATTAAATAGCAATTTTTTTTTTCCTCCTTTTTTTCCCCCATAGGATTTAGTAACCAGTTCTCGAATCCAGAAAAGTCCCATGCTTCAGCAAGTTGCCTGCTTGGGATACAGTTCTGTGGTCAATAAATACTGCTCTCAGGCCTCATCTTGTCCTAAAGAAGTTCTTCAGGTAGGTGTCTTTTTGTCAAGTTGTTCTTAATAGAAAGGCAATTAATTAATTAATTTGCTTTTTCACTGAAAACAGTTTTCACATTGTAAGATAAAATCCTGAGAAAAGCCATCACTGAGTGATGTTATTAAATCAGGTGGCTTTATTGTGATAGGCTTTTCAGTGGGGAAGGGGAACACTGTGGATAATCTGTATGTTAGGAAGACTGAACTGCTCTGTCTATAGCCCATCCATGATCTGGCAGATGAAGCAATCAGCAGGGGCCGCGAAGACAAAATGAAATTAGCTCTGAAATGCATTGGCAACATGGGAGAACCAGCCAGCATCAAGCGCATCCAGAAGTTCCTTCCCATATCTGCATCAAGTGCTTCTGACATCCCCATCCACATTCAGATTGATGCCATAATGGCTTTGAGAAAAATAGCTTGGAAAGACTCCAAAACAGTAAGTAAGACCTGCCAGGGAAGTGAATTAGAGAATATATACTGTAAGGGTAATGAGCTTAATGGTATCATGTGCATGGATTCAGCATGGTTAAAAAAAATAAATATATATATATATATATATATTATTTTTAAGACCAACACAGTACAGTTTTATATTTAAGCTGATGTTTTCTGCTGAGCTGTAATAGTTATTAGTCAGTAAGATATCAGCAGTGTTTCTTTAGTCATCTGTCATAACGGACATAGCCTATGCTGTGGTGGAAATTTAGCCACCTAAAAGTCAGACATTTAATTTAAACTGCCTTGATAGTTAGGAGGAGAGAGACACTTCCTATTGAACTCCTGGGCAAAATGTTGACATGGCTCTGCCTCTTCTAGACCTTTCCCACTGACCACCTGTGGAGGTTGCTCCTGTGTTGAGCATGAGCAAGACTTCTGCCTTTCAGATGGTTTAGATATAGGAGATGTGTGAGACAGCAGATAGCATCCACTCAGTCTTCAGTGAGCTGCTGAAGCTCCCCTTTTAAAAGTGATCTAAAAAATAGTGAAGCATGCTCACCAAATCAGTGGATCTACTCCAAAAAATGAATCTGCCTTACCATTTACTGTTGTTTCTTCCGAAGTTATTCACTGCTCTTTGAACACAATGCAAAAATCTATGCTGATGTTTTTTTGGTTGTGGTGAGTTGACCTAATATATTCATACATGGATGTTTATTTCAGATTCAGTGCCAGCCGTTCTCCATGGGGCTGTTCCTCCATGGCCTCTTCTTAGTAAAATTATGTGGAACCATGCAGTAAAAAAGATTAGGAAACCTTTCTGCAGGGATAATGACCCCCTTTCCCATATTTCTTGTGGGTTATGTGTGGATCCAGTCTGTAAAAAAAAAGTTTCAATTACTGGTAATTTCAGTCACTGTTTTCTCTCTGAAGGTGCAGGGACATCTCATCCAGATCCTTGCAGACAAGTCGCTTCCTCCGGAAGTGCGAATGATGGCTTGTGCTATTATCTTTGAGACAAGGCCTGCCCTTCCTTTGATAACAACAATAGCTAATGTGGCAATGAAAGAGAGCAATTTGCAAGTGGCCAGTTTTGTGTATTCCCACATGAAGGCTTTGTCGAAGAGTAGACTGCCATACTTGTACAACATGTAAGTAGAGACAGGAGCGAAGTTGGCAATCTGCAGATAGTAAGTTCTGTTATGTTCTTGTTGGTGAGCACTGCATGTGCTGACAAACTGAATTCAGTTCATATTCTGATGGGGGTGCATCTTATTTTTGAATATTATTACCTTTCCCATTTTGTTTAGATCTTCAGCTTGCAATATTGCCCTTAAGCTGCTGGCCCCCAAACTGGACAGGCTCAGCTATCGGTATAGCAAGGTCGTGCGTATTGGTGGTTACTTTGGTGAGTAAAAGCATTTCATTGACCAGGAAATTTACATTTCAGAAACCCATTCTTAACAGACATTAAGTCCTTGGAGAAATATATCATTCTGCATTTCAATAAGATACTGAATTAAATGTGACAGTCATATATTTGAAAACACATGAATAGCCATTTATTAATTTGTGCCTAAAAAGATTTACATAATGATACATCAGTGTTGGCAATGGAAAAAGCTGCAGAAATATGATCTTGAGTCATAAACGGAATGGTTATTAAAAAAAGATGTCTTTTCTTTACTTCTGCTATAGATAACTATAAAGTTGGTGCTGCTGGAGATGTCTTTGTTATGAACAGCCCAGGAACGATGTTCCCATCAGCAATAATTTCCAAGCTGATGGCATATTCTGCAGGGTCAGTGGCTGATTTGGTGGAGGTAAATATTTACCTGAATTATTAATCGGGCAAATTGAAATTAAAATTGACCACAAAGTTTCATCTCTGTAAGTATGTTTCAGACTGCTCTTTCTTGTGTTGTTTTGGTAGGCTGGTGTCCGTGTGGAAGGCCTCACAGATGTTATCACAAAACGGAATATCCCGTTTGCTGAATATCCTGCATACAAAAAGATAAAGGAGATTGGAAAAGCTGTAGGTATTTTTAGTAATGCAATGTATGCATTATATGAAGGGGTATTTAGTGAGGTTTCTCATATTAGTTAGGCCCTGCCTCAGAAGGTAAATACCTGCCTAGCAGTCAACTCAAGTATTTCTGTGAAAGCAAGATCTGCAGTGGAACTGCTGGGGACATCACTCCCATGATGTTTGCAATAGCTTCTGCAAATTCTCGCTCTGGCCCAGCCTCTGCCCAACTTCATGTATGGCTGCACAATGAGCATTGGGAGGAGACAGGGGAGGCAGGCATCACGTGTGTTTCATGGCTGGCAGGCTTCCCCATCCTTCCCTTCATCTACCTCACTTAGTTTACAAGAACATACCTTTGTCTTCGGAGAAAAGGTGATTTGTTGCTGTGCTTTCAAACTGGGTTTGGTGGTACTAGTGGCCCAGGCCTTCTGTGTAAATGTTATTGAATCAGAATACTAAACACATGGGGATACTCATGGGCACCATGATGAGAGGGGAAGTCTGAATTAGTGACACTGTGCTACCTACGAAACAGCAAAGAAACACCAGCAGCAGTGGAAGATTGCAACTTGGTCAGTGATGGCTTTGATCACCTTGCTGAATTACCATTTGTGAAGTGTTGCATTGAGGAACTTTGCTTATTTCTTTATCTGCTCCCTAGCTGCTGGGATGGAAAGAGCTGCCGACAGAAACCCCATTGATATCAGCCTACTTGAAACTATTTGGCCAAGAGCTGGCCTATGTCAGCATCAATAAGGAAGTCCTGCATCAGATTGTGAAGGTACCAGGGACCCCTGCTTCTCTTTGCAAGATCTGACAGCATTGTACTTTTATATCTCAACCTCTTGGATCTCCGTTTTATTGCAGGCTGTGCTAGAACCAGCTGACAGGAGCACGACGATAAAGAAAGTTGCCAGCCAAATCCGCAATGGCATTGCAGGACAATGGACGCAGCCGGTGTGGCTTGGAGAGCTGCGCTACGTCGTTCCTACCTGCACTGGCCTGCCGCTGGAGTACGGGTCATACACGAGTGCTCTGGCACGAGCGGCAGCCAGCGGTGAGTGGGAAGTACAGGATCAGCCATGTGAGCTCTGAGCAGGAGGCTGAGAGGGACAGGCCAAGGTGGGCTGGAGAAAGAAGTGGAAAACCAGGAAGTTAGAAAAAGAACTAGTTTTTTTAGTGGAGAGGAAGTAGTGAAGATGCTTGAAGAGAGGCTGGACACACCTGATTTCTGACTCATCTTTGGATGGATTGGAGACAGAGAAGTTGAGGTGGAAATCTAGGAAACCAGAGAGAAAGATCATAGTGTTCAAGGGCAGAGATAAACATGGAGAGCTGAGATAAACATGGGCAGAAGGGGGTGGCTCCCAAGAGATGCACACACAGGCTAAGCAGGATTCAATGGTGATTTAAGCAGAGGAAAAAATAGAAGACAATCAAAGGGGAACTACCAGTAATGTTAGAGAAGGCATGAAGAGAAGAAGGCTTGTGAAAAGAGACAGAGAGCTCTGTTTTAAAACAGTAAATATGCAAGTACAAATACTTATCAAGAAATTAATTCAGTGATCGTACTGTGTTGTGCAGCAGACTTTTAGTTTAGGCAAAGCTGACCCTTGCTTCTGCTGACACCACATGAGGAGTCTCTTTACACAGAAGTCTTGTATATGCCCACTCTTCACTGCTCTTAGTGTTTGGTTTATTAGTTTGTTTTAATAACAACTTTGAATACCCGCCTCTTGTTTTGTGGATATTTTTATTTATCTATTTTTGTTTAAATAACATCCTTGTAGCCAAGCTGGGCAGGTATGGATTGAACGGATGGGTTACAAAGTAAGGCTGTCTGGATTGCTGATCCTCCAACAGTAGTCAACAGATGAAAGTCTAATTGGTGGCTCATTGTGAGTTACTCATGACAAGCTTCTCAGCATTTGTTCATTGTCTCTTCTAGCAATCTGAACTTTGGAAAAGTAGGCTCCCTCAACAAATCTGTGTCAATGATGACACTGAATTGGTGGGAGCAGTCACTGCACTGGGGGGTCAGGCTGTCATCCTAGGGGTCACTGACAGGCTGGAGGGGATGGCCTGACGAATGTATGATGAAATTCAGCAAAGGCAATGCAAAGTTCTTCACCTGGGATGAAGTAACCCATGCAAGTGTATAGGCTGGGCATCACCCAGACAAAGCAGCTTTGCAGAAAAGGGCTGGAGAGGCCTGGAGGACAAGCTAGTATAATGAATCAGCAGTGTGCTCTTGTGGTGATGAAGGCCAACTGCACTATTGGCTGCAACAGTGAGAGCAGAGCTAGCATGAAAATTACTCTTTCCCTCTATTTAGCGCATCTGAGGCTGCATCTGGATTTCAATATCCAGTTTTGTGTCTGCAGTACAAGAAAGATATTCACACTTGATATGAGTAAAGATTGGAGAGCAGGGTTTGCTCACCATTCACTCTGTCTTCTGGCTCCTTGCCTTCTGGAATTTTAATGTTACACTGATTAACAAACTTTCAATTTGGGTCAGCTCTTTCTTTCTTCCTATATTTTTATTTCCACTTTCAGTTGCATCATAACCTTTTACCATGTTCAAATGTTGTCCTGTCATTTGCAGTTGATGGAAAGATAACCCCCCCTGTAACTGGAGACTTTAGACCTTCCCAGTTGCTTGAATCCACCGTGCAGATTCGAGCAGACATAAGCCCAAGGTATGGCAGGTTTTTAAGGCTTTACACTTGATGGAGTTCTATGAAAAGGCACAACCACGTGTTGAAAAGGAGCACCTTTCTTACACCTGACTGCTTCACTCTGTTTCAGCTTGTATGTACATACAGTCGCAACAATGGGTGTCAACACGGAATACTTTCAACATGCTGTTGAAATTCAAGGCAAGGTCCTGGCAAGACTGCCAATCAAGTTTGATGCCAAGATAGATGTGAAACAGAAGAACATCAAGATTGAAACAAATCCATGCCATGAGGAAACTGAGATAGTGGCTGGAAGGTATGGTAGTCTTATTTCAGAATAATTTCTGTTGCTGAAACCTTACCAAGTTTGCAATTTGCTGATGTCTTACAGAGGTTTCTAGATAGGCAGAGTGACTTTGCAGTGCGTAGCAGAACTTTTGGGATAAAGAGCAAGGAAGAGAAATAGAGGAGTTAAAAGTCAAAAGCTACCTAAATTATTTAGAAATTTAATTTTTATTTTAATTTGCCTGTTATTGTGTGGGTTTAATTTTTTATTATTATTATTTTATTGACTTTCAAGGGGGGTTAAATTTTTGTTTTTAAATGAATGCCTTTCATATTTTGGAAATTTGTTTAAATTCATCCTGATTTTGAAAAATTTCCTGTGATACAAGAAACTGATACTTGTCATGAACTCTTACGTCTTTAATATTTGTTTATAGTTGCATATAAAATCTCTATGTTCAAACATCATATCTCTGTGCTGTCACATGATACTGACAAGGATGTATTTCATGTAATCTAAAGACAAGGGGTCAGAGTAATTCAGCATTTTTTGCACATATCTCAACAGACATAAAGCTTTTGCTGTATCAAGAAATATAGGAGAACTAGGTGTTGAAAAGAGGACCTCAATTCTTCCAGAAGATGCTTCATCAGATATTGTGGAAGAACCTTTCAAACCAGCAGAGAGAGCTTCCAGAGAAGGTTTCACAATGGTAACCTATTGATTTTTTTTGCTTATATGGTAATATTTACCCTCTCCATGATGCACATATGTGCAGTTTTACTCTTGCCTATGGTATGCTCCCAATGGTATTCACATACTCATCTCCAATGCAGCAAGAAGCTGACAGCATGCCAAGGAAACATGCCTATAGCTCTCAAGAGGATCTTCGCCATGGCATAGGAAGAAAAATTCATAAACAAGATATTTGCATCAAACTGTATCGCCTTGGGTGTCAGCTCTGCTTTTCCAGAAGGTCACGAGATGCCAGCTTCCTAAAAAACACATATTTGCACAGATTAATTGGAGAACACGAAGCTAAAATAGTCTTGCTGCCAGGTACAATACTGAGCACAAGCCTTGTCATCTTAGGTTTGTCAGTGCTGTTTGAAGCAGTACAACCTTCTAATGTGTGCAATTGGTGTGTAGTTCGAACAGATGCTGATATCGACAAAATTCAGCTGGAGATTCAGGCAGGATCCAGAGCAGCTTCCAAAATAATTCATGAGGTAAACTCGGATTCTGAGGAAGAGGATGAATCATCTCCATATGAGGACATTAAAGCTAAGCTGAAAAAGATTCTAGGCATTGAAAAGGTGTTCAAGGTAAGAGGCTTTGAGCATGGGAAAAGGGAGTATTTTCCCATAGATGAAGCCAAGAATTTGAAGTTCCATGTGGAAAGCTGATGTGTGAAAGCAAGGATGGAGTTAGTTTGAAAGGTGCCAGTGCCAGGCCTGTAAGCCAAAGCCACATCTGGAGGGATTGATGCTACGGAGGGCATCCAGCTTGGGCTGATCCTCTGTGCTGAGCTAGATTTCAGCTGGGCAGAGTGGATATAAGGGAGTTCTGCAGCTTCTGCAGTGAGTGAAGCAGGGAAGTTGTTCCTTGAAAGGCTGATGTGAGCAGCTTGTCTGATGCCCAGAGAAGTCCTACTTTGTAAGTACAGAACCAGATGTATCACATCTCTTGCATTTTAATTTGAACTGTTTTTGCAGGCTGCAAATAAAACACGACATCAGAAGAAGCAACCTTCTAAGAAAGGAAACACTATGCTAACAGAGCTTGAGATAGACCCCAAGGCAAAAAATCCCTCCAGTTCATCTTCTGCCTCCTCAACTGTCTCCTCTTCCTCATCATCTGCTGCTTCTCCTGATCGTAAAAAGGCCATGGATGAAGATGAGAATGATGAAGTAAAGCAAGCAAGAAACAAAGATGCAAGCAGTAAGAGTAGCAGCAAGAGCAGTAGCAGCAAGAGCAGTAGCAGCAAGAGCAGTAGCAGTAGCAGCAGCAGCAAGAGCAGTAGCAGCAGCAGCAAGAGCAGTAGTAGCAAGAGCAGCAGCAGCAGGAGCAGCAACAGGAAGAGTAGTAGTAGCAGCAGTAGGAGCAGTAGCAGCAGCAGTAGTAGCAGCAGTAGTAGTAGGAGCAGCAGCAGTAGGAGGAGGAGGAGCAGTAGTAGTAGTAGTAGTAGTAGTAAGAGCAGTGGCAGCAGCAGCAAGTCATCGAGTCACCATAGCCACAGGCATCACTCAAGGTATCTGAATGACAGCAGCAGCAGTAGCCACAGCAGCAGCAGCAGCAGTAGCAGTAGCAGCAGCAGCAGCAGCAGCAAGTCATCAAGTCACCATAGCCATAGGCATCATTCAGGACATCTGGAAGGTGGCAGCAGCAGCAGATATTCCAAAATATGGGTAACTTTGCCAGTAAATTGACTGATGCTGCTAATGTTTGTGAATCATATTCCTGATGGCAGTTGGCTTTGCATAAATCCTGAAATTATGAATTGACACAGTAAATTTTAGCAACATAAAATTTCAATATTAATTCTGCAAGCAGACCTGCAATCACTTGCTCAGATGTCTAGTTCAGAACACCTCAAATATGTGAAACTTTTGCTATAGGCATGGAACCATTTTTTTGCTAATTTATTGCTTTCTGTGAGTATATATTGCAGGTTTCTGTCTTAATTTTGCAGCAGGAACATGTTTTATATAAGCTACTTCATGTCGTGCATTATGTGCTTGTGACTAAGCATACAGAGCTACATATGAATGATAATTAGTAAAATCCTTACTTAATTCCCAGTGCTCAGATTTCAATGTAATTACAGCATTTCTTTTCTTCTGAGAATTTTCATCTTCTTTTGGTTTTTTTTTTGTGTGTTTTTTTTTTTATTTTCAAAGGAAGATGATGAGATTTATCTGTACCGCTTTAAATCAGCGCATAGACAAGAGGTGAGATTTTCTTTCCTCAGTAAATTAAGTATGGAATTTGTTGTGAGTCAAATGGAAAGCTTAAAGGCAACTTGTTGTCTTTTTTGAGGAAAATTACAGTACTGATAACATTTAGAACACCAAATCAACCGTGGTGGTTCTTCTAAGCTGCATAAAGACAAAGAGCTGTGTTCTCCTTTATGTTCTCCACATGATGCAATTTATGGCTCTGCAAACTAGATGCAAAGTTCTATCAAAGCAGTACAAGGGACTGGGGATGCACACTTTAGAGGAGCAAAGATTCTACCATCAGACCTCGGGTCATTCGACTGGCTTTGATCACTTTGTTTCTTGGGCTGGAATCACTGTCAATTCACACCAGGATAGTGGTTTTGACAAACATGGGAGGATACCGTATTTTAGGGTACTTTAGTATAGCAGAAGTTTCTTCCTAGGGTGTGGGCCAGCCAGGAGCTGTATGCTTGATATTAGTGTTTCTTAAAAAGTAGGAAGTTCAGCTGTGTGTCCATTCAGTTGGTCCATTCAGTGTGTCTTCCAGTTGATCAGGCCCTTCCATAAGCAAAAAGTTCTTGTCTTTCATGTTGAATCCAGAGGCTGCTTCAATTTGACTCCCTCTGGTCATCATTTTTTGACACAGGGAATTCTTATCTAGACACTTTCTTATATGTCTCTTCTGAGGGGTGAGATATATTTGGGTAAAGAAGATTTTTCAGAGTTAGATCACATGTCTAAGCAGGACAAAGCATACTGCAAGTCATTGAGCTGTTCAGAGTTGGAATGCAAGCTTACCAACACCAAGTGCCAGGACAGACAGAATTCTGCAGCACTGCCTTGTGCAATTTGTACAAGCATGCTTTTAAGTTACCCTCTACAGCATGACGTGTTTTCTTCTTGCAGTTCCCAAAAAAGAAACTCCCAGCTGACCGACTTAGCAGCACGTATGCCTCTACCAGATCCATTCATGCCTCATCTCGAGCTGCTTCCCGGGTTAGTTGCATCATTTCTAGGGGGTTTTGTCAGCTTGGAAGAATGGCAGAGTGGCCTTGTGCTTGCAGTAATTGTACAGCTAGGATAATGGGAAGAGAGACATAACAACCTCTCAAGTCTCACCTATCAGTTAAGAGTGAGACACGCATCTTAGTTCCCATATGCACTTTCCTCAGCAGTGAGGTGAGGATCCTTCTTACTTGCACCACAATCCTTCCCTCATGGTACTGCTAGCCAACAGAAGCTGCAGAGACTGATCCTGTGACCTCTGCAACAAGGAGGGAAGTTGAGGTGCTGCAGTGCCAGTGCAAGGATGGTGGTGGAGGCCGAGGCTAAAAAGAGCCTCAGTGGAAGGCATGCTCCAGAAGCGACATGTAGCACTTTAGCTTCTCACCACCACTCAGCCTGATGCATGCCGGCTTCCTTACTGGGCAAAGTGAAGTCTAACAATAGAGTGAAGGAATTACAGGTCACAACATGCTTAAGGCCCTGCTCTCAAGGGGGGAGGTTCTTGATGAAGACAGCGTCTTGGAGGATTATATTTTGTGCCAGGGTACTGCCTGCCCCACTGAACTCACAGCTGAAGTGGGAGGTGAAAGCCAACAGACCAGGCAGGCAGACAAAAAGGAGGACAGGCAAAAAGCAGGTGAATATATGAAGCCCAAACCATAGTCATTACTGTAACCTAATAATATGAATATTTCCATAGCATGAACTGTAGCTCGGGAAATGGCAAAAATTTTAGTCCATATAGAATGAGCCATGCACATTAAAGACATACATGTTATAGGCATGTATTTGTGTGTGGCACATATGCTGGTGCATATTTGCAATTCAGTTGCTTATTTTTCATTTATCCATCTAGATCTTGCATCTAAAATGTTAACCCTTTTATAATTCTATTCTTTGCATACTTTCTCTCCCTTCTTAGCCTAAGTTTTTGGGAGATGTTAGAACACCAGTATTAGCTGTTTTTCTTCATGGCATTCGTAACGGTGAAAAGATAGGAGGCCTCCAGCTTGTGGTATATGCTGATATTGACTCCGTCAGGCCCCGGATGCAAGTATTTGTGTCAAACCTCACAGATTCAAGCAAGTGGAAACTCTGTGCTGATGCTTCAGTCCTCAATGCTCACAAGGCAGTGGTAAGGCTCAAAAATAGTTACATACAGCTGTATGCATCATAGGAAAACCATGTTCCATGCATTTAGAAATGGACTGTTTCTCTCTCCATTATAGGCTTATCTGAAATGGGGCCGGAATTGCCAGGACTACAAGATTTCAACTGAGCTGGTAACTGGGCGGTTTGCCGCCCACCCGGCTGCACAAGTGAAAGTGGAGTGGCCTAAAGTTCCTTCAAGGGTCAGATCCATAGCAGAATGGTGAGGTTTTAGTCTTTAATGACACTCATCTGTTGTATCGGTCAGCTGGGAAAAATCAGCATCCACTCATGAGGATTAAAGTGAGTGGTTAAAGTACTGGCTATTATTTTATTCTTTGATCTGTCTGAATACTGCACTTGGACATAAAAGCTGAGTTGGGAGATCATAGCCATGCTACCGTAATGTACACTAATTTTTATACTGGGCATAATTGCTGAAAACTGAGGAACAGATCCTTCCTTTCACTGAAGACTTGGTAAGTAAAGCAGAGAGTCGTCATGGGGACCTCATCAGTTACCCTGAAGACTCCCTGCGCTACTTACAGATGTGAAGCAATCTGTTTGGGATGTGTGCTGGTTTTTGCTTCTCTATTTCACCAGATCTTTCTGATTTGAAGGTTTTACAAGTTTGTTCCTGGGGCTGCATTTATGTTGGGCTTCTCTGAAAAAGCAGACAAGAATCCTTCTCGACAAGCCAGGGTGATTGTGGCTCTAACTTCTCCAAGGACGTGTGATGTTGTTGTCAAGCTTCCTGATGTAATTGCAAAATATTATTATCACTTTCCTATTTTTTCCTATTAGAAAAGTGAGGCTGTTGCATTTTTATTACAGTGGGTCAATTCTAAGAATGAAAAATTAAGTAAGCATCAGGTTGGGTGCAAATGATTAAAACAACTTTTGGTTATTTTCAACCTTTTTATATTACATCCAAGAATATTTATAGAATGATTTTGTTCATGGAAAGGGAGAGTGTTGTGGGTACTTATAATGACACGTTTCCATCTGTAGTAGCTCCATAAGTGTTCACCTAACCACCTCTGAAGTGTCACCTCTGAATAATTCTTTCCCTAATAATATCTGACTGACAACCCACACTATGAGAGAAAACTGTAAGCAGAAGCAGAAGAGCTCATGGTCAGATGACTTATGTTTACATAAAGTCTTTGTGAGCCAAAGTAGAAGAAATTGAAATAAAATTCCAAGTAGGAGAAAAAGCTCATCTCAGCTGTTTGCTGAATATGAATTGTGAATACCTGGCACAATTTTTGAGTGTGTTTTTGAATTCTTTTTCAGATGATCCTCTATGAAAAAGCCATGAGGCTTCCCCTGCCACTCCCTGTAGGTCCGAGGATACCAGCTTCAGAGCTGCAGCCTCCCATATGGGACTTCTTTGCTGAAGCCCCCTCTGCAGTGCTCGAGAATTTGAAAGGTCAGGGTCTAACTGGTTTCAGAAGCATGACATCCTCTGTCTCCTGAATTAAATGAGCATCTTCTGAATTTTTCTGGGATTATTTGTCTCCAGTGAATTAAAACATGTGATATAATAATGTGAGGATGGCTCTACTGGGAGAGAATATTATGCATATAGTACAGAAATCATAAACATTTCAGGGATCAAGGTACAATAAACTTTCTGGAATTATTTTCTGACAAAGGAGTATATTTTCCATGCCTTTTTTAGAATTTATGGGTGCTTAGTAGCCAAAAGCCCCTGTAATCCATGCAAAAATATCACAGATTGGAAAAAAAATATAAAGCTAAAATAATATAGCACTAAAAATAAAATATTCCATTTAATGACTTTCTTTTCATGGAAAAGCAAATACTCACTGGCATTTTATTTAACCAGCTCGCTGCTCAGTTTCCCACAACAAGATAACAACCTTTAACGAAGTTCAGTTTAACTACACAATGCCAGCAAACTGCTACCACATCTTGGCTCAGGACTGCAGCTCTGACCTTAAGTTCCTGGTGATGATGAGGAATGTTGAAGAAGCTGTGGACTTGAAAGCAATCAACATCAAGCTTGGCAATCAGTAAGTAACTCCTGCCAGATGCTGGGAGCATGAGGGACTACGTTGTCCATACTTAATATCAGAGGAGCTTACATCTGAGCTTCACTGTTACGGTTAGCAGCCTATGGGATTTCAGCATTTCCCTTATTTACTTTCCATGTGAGGCTGATGATGTTATCCTGCATCTTATGTAAGGAATACCCCTGATGTAATTTAAGTAGTTGAAATGAGGTTATACTGTGACCAGTGATACTCAGTGGGCAGGAAAATATCTTTGTCACTGTATGCATGTAAATGTCATACAAACAAGGTATGAACACTCTTCTTCTTAACAGTGAAATTGACATGCGCCCTGTGAGAGGACAAGTGAAACTGCTGGTAGATGGGGTTGAAAGCCCCACAACGAATGTTTCATATGCATCTGCTGGTAAGTGAAGCAGCACCTGTTGTTTCATTTTCACATGTTCTAGGAAAAAAAGGTACAGGAGGACCTTGTTTCATCTTGTGCTATGCAGTCAGTGACTATATACAGTGCAGGTATTTCCTGTAGAGCTGTAGTATTCGAACTGGGTGACATCTTACTGATTGTGTTAGCAACTGCCAGTGCTGAGCTCCGTCCTATTTCTTATGTCCTAGGGAAGTTATAATTGTGGTAGAAATGGCTCCAGTGACAGTCATGGTGTTCTTCATATTTTCTTACTCCTATATAATATACTCAGGGCCTTGTACATCTGTACAACTGTACAGGTAATATAGGCAGATCTAATAATTTCTAGAAATAGATATGCGTATGTTACTAATCCAAAGAAAAATGAATAAACCCCTGATCACTAAAATTGTTTTCCACCATTTACAAACACCTAATCTTTGTAAGTGTTTTTTTTTACACTTTTCTACATTGTTTTGCTGTATGTTTCGTTTCTTGAATAGAAAAAAATGAGGAATTTCAAGGAAAATAACATTTTAGAAACATGACAGTTGCTTTCTTTTTTTCTTAAAGAAGTTAAGTTGGGTCTGTTCCGGATTTGGTTTTGCTTTGTTTAATACTGTTTTCTTCCAGGTGCTCCTCTGTGGATCTACAGTGAAAATCAATGGCTTGTACTTGTTGCCCCAGCCTATGGCATTGACAAATTGTACTTTGATGGATACACATTCAAGGTATCTTTCTACCTATTCATAAGCTTGTGTGTTGAGAAATTTCCATAGATTCCCTTAAATCTGTATGTATGAGTGCAAGAGTATACAGTGGCAAAGCCAAATACGGGCAGGGCCCAAAAAAAGACCCAAAGGGAAGATGACACTACAGGTCTGCACAGTCCTGCTCTTTATTTCTGAGCAGAAGTAAGAATCTTTCACCAACAAAAATACCTTATTCTTGCAGTACAGGTGTATGTTGGGAAATGGGCTTGTGAGTGCACGCACACTGAGTCGGCACTGCATTTGCAATAAAGATGAGTTTCAGCTCCTGCCCACTGTTCTTACAGCTGTTTAGATCTTCAGATCAGCAAAAATGAAGCCCTTCTTAAAGACGAATGAATGCTTTAAAGGCTGCACTAAAAATAATGTGAAAATGGAATGTAAGAAATCAGTAAACCAGACTATATCTATCGTCTGTACTATGAAAACATCTACCAAGCAAAAGCTTCAGCCTATTAATAGTCTAGATTATTAATAACTTAACATACCAGACTGGCACAGTAGGTTTTAAAGGCTGGAGCAGTTAAAGACACTGCAGCACCACAGGACTTTGCCATCTGACAGACAGATGTTTTGAATTCTTACCAAAGAGATTTTAAATGTTCGTGTAATCGCTTATACTGGAAGAGACCTGATAGCAAAAATCTGCTCCATAGGTGTCACTTTTTTCTAACTTGAAATGGTTCTCACTATTTTTCTCACAGATTCAAGTTGCTTTATGGATGGCAGGGAAAACATGTGGGATATGTGGAAAATATGATGCAGAATGTGAAGAAGAATATCGGATGCCCAATGGATATCTAGCTAAAGATGCAGTGAGCTTTGCACATTCTTGGATTTTGGAGGAAAAGCCATGTACAGGAGGTATGCAACCTCTAATAAATTTAATATATTATTGCAGTTGTTTAGAAAATATAGAATCTGTTTATAAAATATTAAATCTGTAAACATTTTGGAAATAAAAAAATTATAAGAATTCATTATTAACTAATATATTAAGTATTAAAATTACTTGCCAGTTTAGAAGGAATTAAGAAGTCTCAAGTTAAATAAATGAGGCAAAATACACCAGTCAGTTGACATCTTTGTTTCAGTTTTGAAGTATTTTAGATGATCAGGAAAAGAAATATAAGAGGATAAACTCACATGGAATGCTTTGATTTAGGCATAACAGCATTTTCCAGACATCAATTTCCAGCATTTGACTCATCAAAAAATCAGGTGGAGATTAGTAATGATTACCATGTCTGACCATCTGATTTTTGGACTAGTGCAACCTGTCAAGCAAAGCATTCAAGTGCATGAACAGTTCCAGGGAATTAATTACATTGCTGAAATAAAAAAAGCTGTCTTTTAAGTGTTTCAGTAGATTAGGATCTTACGGTGTGCTGCTGCTGTCAGCTGAGGTTCTGATGCAACAGCATTCCACAGTGCTGCAAGGAGAACCAGCATGTTCCCTTTGTGAAGAAGATTTGTCCTGGTCGGAAGGACTTCCTTGATCCCTGGAGATGGCTTCTATATGTTTAGCTGTGCATTAACTCTTATCCTTCTATGTCTTTGTCACTTATACTGGGCATCAAACTTGCTATAGATGGCTATGGAGTCCACATGCAAGTACACAATAACAATCCCATGGTTGGTAGTGACCACATATTGTGTTTCCTTTTAACATATGGCGGAAATGGATGGAATTTTAGAGACTAAAGCTTATGATCAGGAATAAATTGTGGTCCATTTAGTTTCTCACACACATGTAACTGCTCGTCTTGGGAATCCAAAATGTGGTCAATATTACTGGCTGGGAGCAATGACTTTTGATCTCTCTCAGCAGCAATTCTGTGTCTGAATGACAGTGGTAATAGCATAATTCTTTAGTGATTACTTTTATTTGGGCAGAAATCCCCCCCTTTATTTCCACTGCTGAGTATTCAACATTTTCAAATTCTTTTGCAGCTGTTCAGTAAGCCAGTTTACTTTGAAATACGTTTATTATAAAGTACATTACTTTGTTTCTACATGCTAATCTAGAAATAAACCAGTTGCATTTGAAATTAAGTTTATGTAGCTTTCTAAATCAGCTAATTCAATAGGGAGCTACAAAAAGTTAATTTCAAATGCAACTGGTTTATTTCTAGGTTAGCGTGTAGGAACAAAGTCCAATGTATTTTATAATAAACATTTTCCAAAGTCAGCTATGCTGCTTCACTTCTGATCAAAATACAGTTTTCAGAGAGGCAAGTTGTTTGGAAATCGCCGGTGTTGGCAGATGGGTCCTTCTGGGGAGATCTGAAGATTTTGAATGTAAGCTCATAAACTATCACCAATGATTGTGTTACAGTCTGCAAACTGAGGCGCTCATTTGTGAAGCTTGAGAAGACCGTTCAGCTTGCGGGTGTAGAGTCCAAGTGCTATTCTACAGAGCCTGTGCTGCGCTGTATGAAAGGATGCTCTGCCACCAAGACTACTCCTGTCACTGTTGGTTTCCACTGTCTCCCAGCAGGTAAATCAACAGAAATCTTACTGAATAGGAGCTGCACAAAATAGTTAATAGATTGTGCCTTGACTTAGTTATTCCACTGTAAATGTATGAATAATCTAATACATTCACAGCTAGAGACTTTCTGCAATATTGATTGAAGACCTTTTCCTGTTTCATTAATATGTAAAACTTCCTTTAGTGAGAGAGATGGTTTTTCTTGTTGTAATTTTACTGTGTTTTTCATTATACCAAAATTTAAAATCCAAACTGAACTCCCCTTCATGGTGCTTTGAGCTACCAAGGTAGGGTCAGGGTAACAGCACAGCTGTGTGTTACAGCCTGTGAGGATTCAGCCACATCTGATCATGTGCAGCACCCTGAAACAGGGATTGTCGCCTTGTATATTTTTACATATCACACTTCAGGTGTGATCCTATTTCACTGAACTGATTTAGGCAGTAGAAGGGCAGGTGTGGACAAGATTCCTGCATACAGGTGCAGCAATATAGGAGGATGTCCTTTTTTTAGGTATGTGGTAGATTATAAGATATTAGATAAGGTAGATACAGTTTATATAGATGATAGGTTCGTGTCTGTGTCCCAGGCTTCCTTTAAGTTCATAATATCCTTCCCTAAATGTATTATTAATAAAACTCTACATGGAAGTAGTAGTTTTAAATGTAGAACTGGCTTATTAATTAAGCAGGTTTCCTGGAACATCTCTGTGTGACTTCTTAGGCAAATATGTGAGCCAGCCAGGAGAAGCCAAGCCTGCTGTAATTAATGACTAGTGTATGGTAAATACTGTACCTTGCAAAATGACTTCTGAGGTAGACTGTTTATTTGCATTTCTTGTTGCCCATCAGATTCTGCTACCAGTCTGACAGACAAACAGATGAAGTTCGACCAGAAGTCAGAGGATATTCAGGACACTGTTGATGCACACATAGCATGTTCTTGTGAGAACGAAGACTGCAGTGCGTGAAGCTGTACATTGCAACAGAGGAAAAAACAGAAACACTTTAGTATTTTTATTGTGTGGTGTAAGAAAACTCATCCTAAGGAATAACAGAGATACTATATTAAGTGTTAAGGATATGTGGAATCTTCCCAAGTAATTTAAAGTATTAAACTTTATTATTGTAGAAACTGTTATGATTTCCTATAAATATCTGATTTGGTAATAAATCCATGCATGGAAAAATGATGAAGGCTTCCTTATTTCGCTGGTTATGGAAGCAGAGGTCTGTGTTGTTTCTTTTCATCCCCAATTTCATAGACTTCTTGAGTCTGTGACTGTCTTCTGTGCACCAGGCACGTGTCCGTGTCGGGCCCCATCACAGATATGGGTTGGGTAGCTGTCATAGCAGTTTGCTGCTTGTGTCTCCCAGTGCTTGCCTCCCTGGTGCTGGGATCCTGTGCACTCAGAGAAGCAACTGCTCACTTCTGTGTGGTGCAGCAGCCACACAGCTGTGGTAGTCTGCAATAACTACATGTGTGCCAGTGCTGCCAGTGGGATCAAGATCAGGAACTAAGCCTGAATGTCATGCCACTGAACAAGGCTGCTCTGAGGCTCAAGAACATATTATGCTTCTGATGCACCACATGCAGAACCTAGTGCAAATTAGGGGACTTTGGATAGGACATGGTGGAGCTACCCAAATATACCACCTGCCAAAGGGTCCGAAGCAGAGCCAGACCTTTGTGTTTTGGGTGAGATGCCCCAGCCCCTGTGCCCAGCACAAGCCATCGCTGTGGCCACCATCAGCCTCCTGCACACCTGCTGCAGGGGTCTCTGGGTACTGGTGAGGGACATGCTCATCTGCTGTGAGCACTGGAGCCCAAAGGATTCTAGTGGATTTGGAAGGTGTTTTCTGCTTGCTTAAGTCACCATTTTTGCACAATTTTCAATAGAAATGGTATTGTACTTTCTTAAGTTTATCTAACTTAATTCATCCTCATTCTTCCAATTAATATACATCCAGTCCAGCCATTTTAGTTACTGACTGGACGCACATACATTCTTATGTAGAAGTCTGTTAATGCAAAGCTGAATGTGATCCTACCAAATAGGTAAAAATGTAGCTCTTCAGTATATTACTGGGGAAAAGAAAAGAAAGAAAAAATTGAAGCAAGTTATTCAATTCTTAAAACCAGTAGAAAGCAATGAAGAAAAGTGGCACTTGCCTATGACCATGTGGGGTGAAGAGGTAGTCACTGGCCAGTTCTTGAAAGGACTTGAGAGCATTCTGTAAAAATTGTGTCATTCTGCTTTCCCCAGCACCTTTGGTACCTTCAGTGGATGTGAGTTTTATAGTTTGGAAGTTGATGTTGTTTGTACCAAAAGAAGTATTTTTGAGAGACAGGCATAAATACACATTGACATAAAGTTTAATTGCTGTCATGGTGCCTTGCACTGCAAAGTGATGGGGAGCTAAAGACAGGCAGTGTTTGGGCACTACCTGGCAGCAGTATAGTGATGAGTTGGTGGGTTTGCTGGTTGCCTGGAAGTCACAGTGATGGGGTACCGATCAGTGATGGGAAGTGCAGTACAGTGATGGAAAGTCACATGGAGCACAGACATTCCAGGTAACCCCCGAGGCTTAATCCAGAGGAAGCCAAGGCTTTGCATGACCCCCGGAGGATGGGCTCTAGGGGTCTCTGGCATGAGCTCCAGGCTCCAGTGGGGCCAGCCCACACTGTTCCCCTCCTCCCAGTCTGCCGAGGCTGGAGCATAGTTTTGGGTATCTTCCTCCCCCTGTGCTCAGGTGTGAGGGGTGCAATGAGCTTGGCAGGAGATCTGTGAGTGAGCATCGCTCAGCCACCATGGCAGTCAGAGCACCCATGGGGCTGTGGGGGAATGCAGACTACGGGTGTCCACCTTGTGAAGAGCTGTGGGGAGGCCCCAGCCAGCCTCTGCCCCTCTCCTCCACTGCCATTGCAGAAAGAGTTGAGTACAGCTCAAAGGAAATGCTATCCAGGGCAGCTCCTGGGCACAGCAAAGTGGTTCATTACCCTCGGGATTTTCTTAGGATTTCTTTTTTTTCTCTTTCTTTTTTTAATTCAGGCTATATCCTTTGGAGAAATGCGAAGCATGAAAGGGCTGTGAGTGTATGGGCAGAGAGCCTGGGTGCTGAAGTTATCGATGTTCAAAATGTTTTTATAAAACTTGACTTCCAGTTCTATGAAGAAACACCAGAAGACGAAACCCTCACAGACGGGTTTTTGCTTACACCTGGAGAAGCATAGATGATGCCATGCCATGGCAGCAGCATGGCCAGGGATGCAACATTTGCTGCCCAGAGCGTGGGATGGGTGGGATGGGGCGAGACTCCACAAGCCCTGGGCTGGGGGAAGTGGGGATTGTGGGAAGAGCCTGCCCTTGCAGCCAGGCACAGCCTGTACAGTCCCTGGGGAGGACCCTTATTTCATGCACACTTCTCAGTGTCACTGTTGTAGCATGGTGTTTCAGTGATAAGTGTTATAATTTTGAGACACTGAATACAAGCATTATTGCATTAAATCTGCCATCACAGCAGATCCGTATCAAGCTCTTCTGCTTGTGCTGAGCCTGACCTCAAATCCTCCCTGAGCAAGGTGGGGTTTTGGTTTATAATAAAACCTGCAGCTGCTCATAGTTACACCATAATACATTAGCTTTTGAGCCTTAATTACCAGTCACCACTAGCTGCGTACTCAAATCCTTTAGCTACGTTTACCATATGCCAAATCTGCAAAGACATGACGCAACTCGTTAGTGAATGGCTTGGCTTTTCTAACTTGGGCCATCAGTTTCACATGAGAAGGGCTAAACCAAGTGGGACCAGATTATAGTGCTGGTAAAAACACGGTGAAATATTTGCCATGCTTAAAAATTATTTTTTTTTACCCTATAGATGTAATCTTTTTTCTAGGAACCAAACCCACAGTTTGTCAGACATAAATTATACCCCAACCACCAGTTATAAAAGCCCCCATCAGCTAAAGAGCATTGTGAAAACTAAGCTGCCTTGGATAGCAGCCACTGATCTGCTGCTGAGAACCTGCATCCAGTCCCTTCCCACCGTGACCTGGGCAGCAGCTTCGGTTCCCCAGCCACCGAGGGGAAGGCTGGTGAGCAACGTGAACCCCTCAGCCAGAACGCTCCTCCTGCAGGTTCCTGATGGGAATGGTCCAGGAGGCTCTGGCTGAGCCCATCTCCATGCCCCTGCTGTAGGGGATCCAGGGACTAGGCCAAACCCCAGAGCCAGGAGCAGCCTGAGGGACCTGTGGGTCTGCTCCAAAGGGACAGGGGAAAGGCCTACCCATGGGAGAGGGGAGCTCCACCATGCGGTGAAGATGCCGCCCTTTGCTGCGCGATGTGAAATGAGTTTGGGTGAGCTGCACTTCGAGCACCTTTGTAAACCAAGAGGCTTGTGTCTGTAAGGCCCATTCAGCCTCCCCTGTCCCACCTCCCACGGCTAATCCCAACAGTGAAAGGGGCTGATGCCTCAGCCCTGTAAGAGAAGGCAGGTGAAGGAAGCACGAGCTTCAGTGGTGTTTAGCCATGGCCTTGTGACAATGACGGGAGGTTTGTGTTACAGGGTGAGGCCACTGTCCCCCGAGAGCAGCACTGTGGTGACAGCCTGTCCTGCTCGGCCCGGTGTCACAGGAGGGCTGCCTGGGGCATTTTGCACAATCCTGCTGGGGCACTATCAGTTAGATAAGCTGTGTGCCTTATGGTCAGGTCAGGGTAACCTGGGCAAAGTCAGCACAGACTGCAATAGCACTGGCTTCTTCCAGTGAATAAGGATAATCAGTAGTTTTTCTTGCATGATAAATATTTTGACTTTAACCATACCTTAATACTTTCAAGCCCTTGTTTCTAAAGGTACTTTCAGTGAATTCAGTTGGTGAAGTAAGAACAAAAGTGCCTGTGATGGTTTTGGTTCATAAAAACAGCTGGCACCTTGTCCCCGACCCCCTGCCCTCAAAGGGCTTGAGTGGTTGATAAAAAGTTGATAACTCGACAAAATTCACTGTGCCTGTTAATAATTCTTCTATAAAAGCCACACATTTTCTTCTGCAGTCTTCAGTTGCTTTTAGCATGAAGGGACTCATCCTGGCCCTGGTGTTCACCCTCGTGGGTAAGTTGAAGCTTTCCCAGCACTGATGATAGCCACTGCAATCCTTAGCAAACTGCATCTCCTCGGGGCCTTTTAGAGATATTTACAGCTCAATTTGCTGAGGCCCTTTTATGACTTTGCTGCAACCTACTAGATTTCTGTGCCTAAGATTAACAGCAGGGGAAAAGCCAAGCAAGGAGCAGCTAGTGAGTGAGGCTGCCATGGGCTTTGTGTCCCTGGGGTGTGGGGGCACCTCGGGAGCCCATTACTGGTTGTTTGCCAACCATTAGCATACTGAGTAAATGAATCATAAATTGAAGGATCTACAGAGATGGTGTTTTTTTTTCTCATGCATCCTTCTCTTTCCTTCCACACAGGGGCCCAGAAGCAGGACCTTGGTAAGTGCACTCCCACCACCAGTGAGCAGCTCCCACTCTGCCCTCCCCTGCGGCCATGCCTTGCCCACTGCTCTCATCTATTTTTTGGCAGTAGCAGCCTCACCCTTCTTTGCTGGGATGGTTCTTGCAACTTACATCACAACAGCCATAGCAAAGGAGATGTTTCTGTCATATCTTTTGTTTTTGAATAGAGCCCATTTTTCATACTGGCAAGACTTACCTGTATAGCTATGAAAGCTTCATCCTGCATGGGCTGCCCAACAGAGGCATGGCAATGGCTGGAGTGAAGCTGACCTGCAGGGTGGAGATCAGCCATGTGTCTCACAGTGACCACCTTCTCCAGGTAAACCACCATGGACATGGGAACCCACTCACCCACCTGCGTCAGGTGGTGGATCTTACCTCTGGGCTGGTAAAATAACCAACAAAGGACGTAGAGCTCACATGAAAACTTAGAGCCCTGCTCAGTGCCAAGAAGACTCCATAAGCAGAATGTCAGACCAAGCAGCTTTGCCCAGGCAGTTATGATATCCCCAGCACAAGGAGAGGTGTGGGCATGGGCACTGAGCTTTGTATCCATATCCCCAAGTCACACTGGGGGAGAGGCGAGGGCATCACTGGAGTGTCTACAAGGTGCAGCCAAACTGCTTTTGGTTACAGGTAGTGACCTACAGACAGTACCACAGGCTTCCTTGCAGCCCCCACTTCTGGGTGGCGGGAGCCAGAGCTGCTCCAACTCTGTGGCCATTCGAACTTTTCCTTGACAAAAGCTGCCTTAGGTTCATCTCTATGCAGAATGACAGCAGGCAGCTGCTTTGAAGAAATGTCCTTAATATACAGTATATATATTAATATAGTTTCATTAAGGCAATATGAAACTTGAGTATGAAAATGAGAATTCATGCTTGAAATATCCATGATTTTCAACCTGGTCTATAGCCTGAGAAAAGCTCGGTGCTGGAATTCAGATATCACATGAGGAAGTCCCATCTGTCTCCATTATCTTCCTTTTGATGTTCTTCACATAGGCATTAATTCAAATGTGAAGGATTGTAATGGTAATGCTTGTGTTTGGCATAATGATATCAGATCTGGAAGCACTGTTACTCATCAAAAAGATTAAACCAAACAGTTTAAAATACTGGCACAGAATGAAAGGCAACAGAAAAAGGGATCCAGAAGACACCACGTGGGGAGAAAGCTGTAAGAGATGCCCTTAGCGTTCATCCTTGGAGTTTACTCTATCTGTACTCCTTGCATATATTATTGAAACAGCTTGAAGGAATACCTGTTATCAAACCTAACACACTGCTGCAATTGCAGGCTCCATGTACCTTGCTAGAGTTGCTATAACTTTAGCAATTGCAGACAATAGTCTTGAGTAGGATTTAATTTGAGAAAGGTGTCAAGAGGCAAGCCACCCTTGCAGCACTGACTATAAATGCCTAGAATAAATCAGAGCACTAAACCTACACCATTTCCCTCTATGCAGGAACATGTACTTTTATGTACAGGGGTGGGTGATGTGTGTGTATGTGACTAGATATGTATGTGACTAGATACGTACGTGCATGCAGGCATGTGTTTCCCACTAGGTAGCAGTCAAGGACTTGTATGCAAGCTTTTACAGCTTGGTAAGCTTAAAATGATGACAGCTGCATTCAAAGTAAGAGACTCAGCTCCTGCTGGCCCATCTCCCATGCGAGATCTGTGGTCAACTCTGCTTCTTCATCCACTGTGCCACAGCTCTGGAGCTCTGGGACCTGCCAGACCTAAAGCAGCAACCAAAATAGTCCCCATGTGTTTAAGTAAGCAGCTTGAGCAACGGCTTGGTTGCCTTGCAGACTGAAGGGAGATCTCACTGGACATGTGGGGAAAATGGGTGAGTATCCTTTCCGTACAGACTGCTGGCAGCTGGTGGTTCACTCACCCAGCAAGCTTCACCAGACTTGCTGAAGTGCTGAATGCTGTTTGCATAATCCTATTCTTCTGGCAGAGATCCTTCATGGAAACTGTGTTTTCAAGGAAACTTCCTAGGCCCAGCACAGGAGTCTGAGGAGGAAAACATTTCCTGTGGTACTGGACAAGTGGCTTGTGCCTGGCTATGGACTGGAAATGTCCAGTTTCCCTCTTATTATTGCACTGTTTCAAACTGATGGTGATAAATGTTTTCCTAATTTTGTTTACAGATTCAGTCACCGAAGCTGGAGGAATACAATGGCTTCTGGCCCACAGACTCCTTCACCCCGTCTTCAAGGCTCTCAGAGATCCTTGCTGCATGCTTCAGCCAAGCCTTTAAGTTTGAATACACTGAAGGAAGGGTTAGAAGTATTTTTGCTCCTGAGGACTGTCCCATCCTGTGCACTAACCTAGTGAGAGGGATTCTGAACATGGTGCAGATAACCATTAAAAAGTCACAAAATGTGTATGAACTACAGGAGGTTTGTTTTTTTCCATTCTAATTTTACTTTAATTCTTATTTTACTGTTAAATAGTAACTTGCCTGTACATACACCTCCCAGGCAATTTTCTTTAACCTATTTACTGCTGTTTCAAGTGGA